CTATAGCTTCCAATGGCTCAAAGGGGTGTTGAGAAAGGGCCTCTAAAACCATAAACAAATCCCACAACGGGACCATTCGTCTGGCCACTGGCCTCTTACGCCGTGCCCCCTTCATAAAACGAGGGTGCTGACCTGCTGTCTTGTCACCAAAACCAACATGACAAGCAGATATAGCCGCTAAGTATACCTTTAACGTAGAAAAAGCCTTCCCTTTATCTAACAGATCCTGGAGAAAAAATAATATGTCCCTTACTGAGCATTGAAAAGGGACAATATGACTCAGTCCACACCATTCTTCAAAGACTCGCCATTTATTACTATAAAGTGTGCGAGTGGAAGAGGCTCTTGCACTCTGTATAGTGTGTACGACTGATGGGGGCAGACCTGCTGCACTCAAATTCCACCTCTCACGGGCCACCTCTCACCCCCCCCCCAAACCCCCCCCCCCCCCCCCCGCTTGTGACAGGAGGTCCCTCCAGGGAGCTATCCAACTTGGAGCTATCAGTATCAGTGACAATCCCATTTCCCTCACCCTGGCTAGAGTGGGTGAAATCAGACTCAGAGGGGGAAATGCATACAGCAGGACATTTGGCCATGGGTGGGCTAAAGCATCCACACCCAATGGTGCATTTTCGTCCGCCAGAGAGAAATACAGAGGACATTGAGCATTTTCCTGCGAGGCGAAGAGATCTACGGCAGCCTGGCCGTACTTCTGCCATATCTGCCTCACCACCTGGGGATGAAGCTTCCACTCTCTGTATAGGGGATTTCCCCTGGACAATAAATCTGCTTCCCTGTTCAATATCCTTGGAACATGGGTTGCCCTGATGGATAAAAGCCTTGTGTCGCACCACACAATCAGCTTTTTTGCTAACTGGTGCAGTTGAAGAGAGCGTGTGCCTCCCTGTCGGTTGATATAAGCAACCACTGTAGAATTGTCCGTTTTCACTAAAACATGCTGGCCCCTGATGAAGCTCAGAAAATGTTTCAGCGCTAGAAATACTGCCAACAATACCAAGTAATTTATGTGCTCGTGAATCAGCTGTGGAGGCCACAGACCGTTCACAGCTCTGCCCATCAGAGTTGCTCCCCAGCCCTTTAATGATGCGTCCGTCGTCATAGTGACTCTCGACAACACTGTTCTCAGGGGAATCCCCGTTCTGAGAGTCGCGGGGCTTTTCCAATGTCTGAGCGCTCTGACGCACACATGAGTTACTCTCACCGGTCGGCTGAGATGACGGCGAGAACATAGACGCAGATGCTCGACCCAGCGCTGAAAGTCTCTCATTATGAGTAGCCCCAGCCGTACTACAGAAGTCGCTGAAGCCATTAAACCCAGCATTCGTAGGCACAGTCTGAACGGGACAATTTTCCCCGTCTGAAAACGGGAAAGACACTGAGTGAAGGACGTGATCCTCCCCTCTGTCAGAGTGACTCGATAAGAGAGGGAGTTTATACTGAGTCCTAGATATTATGTGTGCTGCGCTGGCTCTAAGCGGCTCTTTTTTCCTGTTTATTCTGAATCCCAAGCTTTCGAGATGAATTAACACCATGTCTGCGTCTTTGATCGCTTGCTCCTTCGACGAGGCACATATCAGATAATCGTCTATGTACGACAATATTCTTATACCTTTGTTTCTCAAAGGAAAAAGTGCTGCTTCCACACATTTGCTGAATACTCTTGGCGCTAGAGATAGACCAAATGGCATGGTTTGAAACTCGAAAGCAGTGCCTCGGAATGCAAACCTGAGATATTTTCTGTGAGACGGGTAAATATCTATGTGTAAATACGCGTCTGACAGATCGATCGTCACAAACCAATCGTTCTGGCGGATGGATCGACAAAGTGTCTTGTGTGTCAACATTTTGAATGAATACTTCTGTAGGTGCTTGTTTAACACACGGAGATCTAAAATTGGACGCAGCGACGTGCTCCCTTTCTTTGGAATCACAAAGTAACGGGAGTAAAAACCCTGACAGCTCACTTCCTTTGGCACCACTCTGATGGCTCGTTTGTCTAAGAGAGTATCTATCTCGGCCGTCAGGACGCGAGCTGATTCTCCTTCGGCCACTGAGACTATCATACCATTGAATCTGGGTGGTTTCATGGCAAATTGAAGTCTGTATCCCCGTGAAATAGTGTTTACCACCCACGGATGAGCTGCGCATGCGCGCCAACTGAGTATGTGAGCCGAGAGAGGTCCCCTGTATACTTCCCCATCGTGGGCGCGCTTTGATGACGTCATTGAAGTTTCTGCGCAGACCCCTTCTGATGGAGCGTGCAATATCCGACGCCCTCGGCTGTCTGCCTGGCTGCGATAGTAAAACATTTTTTATTGTGTTTATTGAATTCGGGGAGCATATCGCCCTTAGCTCGTGGCTTGGATGCGATGATGCATTCTTTATTAAACATTCCCCTGAACAGATTGGCATTTGAAAACCCCTTGTGAGTGCTTGGTGACACTGGTGAACATTCTGAACTTGATAGCTTGCAGCGCGAGCCCTTACTGAACTCAGAACGACAGGGCTGGACCCTCTCCTTCTCTTTGCGGGCGGAGAGAGAAGTGCAGGGGAACATTTTCGTGTCAGGTCGCACGCTTTTTCTTCCGTTCCTCGGGGTGGGGCGAGCTCTTTCTCGCCGCCGCGGCCGCAAATGAATGCTTCCCCCATGGTCCGGAGCCATCAGATCTCGGACGATGGGCAGATTGTTGTCCGCTGGGAGCCGGTCTCACATTCCTAGCTCCCATCTGTCTTCCTCTCGTTGCAGCGGCTGGCTGAGAGGGTGGTCGCGGTGCCTGATTGCGTGGTAAACAGAGGTTAAAAGCTTCATCCTCTTGCTTCCTGAGGGTGCTGGTCTCTCTCATTTTCTCGAGAGCTGGTCCGAACAGGCCCTTGGTTGGCTGCGTCCATCACCTCTGCTTTTTTGAGCGTCGCTCAATCCTGACAAGTTTAGCCATAACGCTCTCTCACCTGAAATGTCCAAGCCCATCACACGGCCACAGCCCTGAACCGCGCCACGAGAAGAGCGTAGAATTAGATCGTTCACCACACATATCTCGTCCCAGAGTGCTGGGTTCGGCACTCCCGTGTCTAGTTGCCGCCCCATCTACTCCAAAATCACTGCCTGGTACGCTGACAGTAAAGTCACCGCGTTCAGCAAGCACACTGACTGCGCCGCATACTTGTACACCCTCTGATAAACGGACGCTGTCAAACGTTCCATCTTGCTCGGCAGCGAGATTTGGGATGAGGCAGAAATAGAGCGTCGATTCGGATGGAGGTGATAGGCCACTGAAGACTCTATCGCTGGGGGTCCGGCCAGCCCCAGCTCTCCCATTCCTTGGATCTCCAGCTTAGAACATCCCTTGGTCGGGAGCTTGCTCTTAAAGGGGCTAACCCAATGGCGGGACATCTCTTTCATGCACGCCAGCGCGGCGGGTAGAAGTTGTCTCGTTGTGGTTTGAGGTCATAAAGGTCCCTCTCTGCTCCTTCTGCATCCTGCGCCGCGGGCCACGCTAGGCCCAGTTTAGCCGCGGCTCGCTTGCACACCTCGTGCAGGTTACCGTCTGCCTGGGAGCCCGAGTCGGTCGCGCTCGGGGGTCTAGACTGTTGGACAGGGAAGAGAGAGTTGTTTTCCTCCTCGTCATCCATGTCCAAGTCGAGGAGGTCAGAGTTAGCGTTGCCCTCCGCGTCCTCGTCTCCCGGCTCCTCCTCCTCGTGGGCGAGAAGGCCATCGAACAGAGGAGGCATATCCAGGGATTCAGCTTCCATCATGTCAGCCCAGCTCGTGGTTGCTCGCTGATGGTCAGTAGCCTTAGGTTTAGCGGCAGCACCGGACAGACATGGGTCTTGCTGGCTAACCACCGCCACTCTCAGCCTTCTCTCCAAAATTTTTGCCAGCATTGACGCACAGTGAGTGCATGTTTGCGGGTCCGCAAGCGACGTTTGGCGCCCATACACACAATGCACATGGGATGAGGGTCCCTGCCCGAGACGGTTGCTCCACATGACGATGGACACGGTCGGGTTGCAGGCTCCCTGCTCTTCGACTCATTCCCTTTGGCGGGGGTAATGACTGTCGACATAACGGCCGGAGAGAGAGCGAGTGATTCAATGACTCGTCACAACACGTTAGTCCGATGGTCCACTTAGGGTAGTTAGCCCTTTTCACGGCTCGCCTTAACGCGTAGAGCTTAAAGATGGCTTGACGCCACTGGAAAATCCTAAGTGATAAAAGCGTAGTGATAACGCGCGATAGTCCAAACAGAATAGCTCGCCTTGACGCGGACACTATTCGGATGTGACACTCAACACAGTCCAATCCACTGATGTCGCGTTCGGTGGCGTAATCCAATGACGGTCCGCCTGTTGAACAGTTTAGCGAAATCAGCAATGAAGTCGGACGTGCTGAGAGAGCTTGATGTAATCCCTCACGGGAAGAAAGCGAGAATGACTTCGTTATGGGTCGATCTGAATTATATTGGTGGGGCCGAACCATGATCTCAGGTCGACCTGTCTGTCAAAGACAGACGTGGTGGCATAGGAGCTTCCGTAATTGGTCACGCCCAAAGCGATTCCAATAGTGAAACACCGAGCGAAGTTAGAAAAAGAACTTGGATATCACAGTTCAATGATTGCAGGTTTGCGTACTGTTCTGAGTTTTCATGCCACTGCTTTTATTCATATTGAGGAATACTGGAAGTGTTTCTGTGAGATGAGGAAATGCAGGTTCACATGTGTGCATGTGACTTATGTTACTTACTTGAAAAATGTAAAAGTAACCCATTACTTTACTAGTTACTTAAAAAAGTAATCTGATTACATAACTCACATTACTTGCCCTGCGTCATGAAAAATAAGATTAATACTCATAACTTCTTACTATTTGAATTAAAATGCATAAATAAACAAAACATTTCTCTCTCTCTCTCCCTCTCTCTCCCTCTTGCCCCCCCCCCCCCCCCCCCCTCTCTCTCTCTCTCTCTCTCTCTCTCTCTCAGCATGTGGTTCAGTGTGTGTTTGTGGCCATCAGGACGATCGGGAACATCATGATCGTCACCACACTTCTTCAGTTCATGTTCGCCTGCATCGGTGTGCAGTTGTTCAAGGTGCTCCAGCAAATACTTTCACATTAGAGAAAGATTTCATATTTAACAAACTCCTTTATCAAGCAATTTTCTATTATGTGATGAAAATGTTTGTCCTCAGGGGAAGTTCTACCGCTGTAGTGATGATGCAAAGTCAAGTCCAGAGGAATGCAGGTGTGTGTGTGTGTGTGTGTGTGTGTGTGTGTGTGTGTGTGTGTGTGTGTGTGTGTGTGTGAGAGTGTCTGTGTGTGTGTAAGTGTGTGTGTGTGTGTGTGTTGATCAGATCCACCATGTTTTTGTGTTTCCAGAGGGACATATATCGTGTACAGTATTGGTGAGACGGCTCTGCCACAAACGCGTGAGAGGATCTGGTTCAACAGCGACTTCAACTTTGATAATGTGCTGATGGCGATGATGGCTCTCTTCACTGTCTCAACGTTTGAAGGCTGGCCAGCGTAAGACCAGCACACACACACACGCTCACACACAAACACACTCACACACACACACACACACACACGCACACACACACACACACACGCTCACACACACACGCTCACACACACACACACACACACACACACACACTCACTCACTCACACACACACACTCACTCACTCACTCACTCACTCACTCACTCACTCACTCACTCACTCACTCACACACTCACTCACTCACTCACTCACACACACTCACTCACTCACTCACTCACTCACACACACACTCACTCACTCACTCACTCACACACACACACTCACTCACTCACTCACTCACTCACTCACTCACTCACTCACTCACTCACTCACTCACACACACACACACACACACACTCTCTCTCACACAAACACATATGCTAAAGTGTTCATGGTAAAAGTGAAGCTTTCAGTGATTGATTGTAAGGACTTTAACACAGTTTTGATGTCAGTCTGGGTTCTGGAGCGAAGCCAGTCGAGCAGCACTGAAACATGAAGCCGAAACATGCTGATGATGAAGTGCACTGGTCCACCGTGTGTCCTCTCTCCTTCAGCCTGCTGTACAAGGCCATCGACTCCAGCAAGGAAAACATCGGCCCGATCTACAACTACCGTGTGGAGATCTCCATCTTCTTCATCATCTACATCATTATCATCGCCTTCTTCATGATGAACATCTTTGTGGGTTTTGTCATCGTCACGTTTCAGGAACAGGGCGAGAAAGAATACAAGAACTGTGAGCTGGACAAGAACCAGGTCTGAAGTCCACACAGATATCATTATACAGTATATCGTGATCCAGGGTCAGGGTTGCCAAGTCCGGGGTTTTCCCGCAGAACTGGGACACTTTAAACTGTTGGCGCAGGTTGACTTTTTTCCCTGCGGGTTAAAGGTCTATTATGATTGTAATTGATATAAATGTGTAAAATGAAAAGGTACCACTTAACAATAAGGTTCGTTAGTTAACATTAGTTACCTACATTAGTTAGCATGAACTAATAATGAACCGCACTTATACAGCATTTATTCATCTTTGTCAATGTTAATTTCAACATTTATTAATACATTATTAAAATCTTGTTACATTAGTTAACTAACATGAACTAACAATGAACAGCTGCATTTGTATTTACTAACATTAACCAATACAGTAACAAATGTATTCATCATGGTTAGTTCATGTTAGTTAATACATGAACTAATGAACCTTATTGTAAAGTGTTACCGTTTTATTTAACTAAAATGCTTGTAGTGAGATATTTTACCCATTTTATATAACGATGATCCAACATTTTATGAAAACAGACTGTGTTGATAATTACTACGATATAGTGATTGATTTTCAAGTAATATGGCATATTATGGGCCCTATTTTAACGATCTGAAACGCAAGTGTCAAAGTGTAAAGCGCAAGTAACTTTGTGGGCGGATCCCGGCGCTGTTGCTATTTTCCCGGCGGGATAAATGCCTCTTGCGCCTGGCGCAAATCTAAAAGGGGTTGGTCTGAAGTAGCTTCATTATTCATAGGTGTGGTTTGGGCGTAACGTGGAATAAACCAATCAGAGCGTCATCTCACATTCCCTTTAAGAGCAGGTGCGCATGTTGCATGGCGGATTGCTATTATAACGGCGGATTTACCAAGCGCGCGCCAGGAGCGGTTCACAGCCGAGGAGACCGACGTTCTTGTCAGGACCGTGAAACTGAAAGACAGAGAAGTGACGTTGTATGGGGATGGGAGAAACCCACCCAAATCAACGTCGCTTAAACAGGCGTGGGAGGAAAAAAACTACATTTTTTTACATCTTCATGGACACCACAATGATTTCCCTCATGTGTTAATATTTTTATTTGTTATAAAGTATGATTTGCAAAAATAAAAACTGCTGCATCTGTGTTGATAAGAGAATCACAGTGTATGCGCGTTGTGCACCCGCTACATTATGGCCAAGCATGCGCGCTTAAAATAGCATTATGAACAACGCGCAACGCGCCACTGACTTTAGACTGGGTTTTTTCTGGTCAGTGGCGCAATTGTTTTCTGGAACTGCAAAATAGCACTAGGGAATGTTTGCGCCGAAACACGCCTCCTTTTTGCGCCGACCCGCCCAGGGAGCGCAAGTTCATTTCCTAGTTTGCCGACGTGCGTCTGTGGAGGGAAAAGCCCGCTTTGCGCGGGTGCAAAATACGAATGATACATGTGTCAGTGTACAAAGTCATTTGCGCTGAGTGCAAGATAGGGCCCTATGAGTTTTGATATTTGGGATAGTGTCACTGGGTGAGTTTTGTTTCGCAGACCTGGCAACCCTGTCCAGTGTGGATATGGAGGAAAGATGAGTCTGATTGTGTGTGTGTGTTGACAGCGGCAGTGTGTGGAGTACGCTCTGAAAGCCCGTCCGCTGAGGAGATACATCCCCAAAAACCCCTACCAGTATAAGTTCTGGTATGTGGTGAACTCCACAGGCTTCGAGTACGTCATGTTCGTGCTCATCGTCCTCAACACGCTGTGTCTGGCGGTTCAGGTGAGAGAGACATCGGCACTGAGACACAAACCTCATCAGAGATCCTGCATATATCGCCACATCACAGTGTTTTACAATGGCTAGGACTTTAACACGGTTCTCTTTACCAACTTTCAGCATAAAAGAGAGAGTGCACAAAAAACATTTCACACGTCTTAAATCACAACATTAGCAAAGGTTTCACCAACAAACACACCTTGTCAGTCATAAAACAAAGAGCTACAAACATTAAAGTACCTTTTTTTTGGATATTTCCCTTCATGTAGTGTGTAATAAATCTGTTTGTGAATGTAAAAGGCCTGCAGAGTTTCAAAGTGCAGATACAGTCAAACCTAAATTTATTCAGACACCAAAGATATTTGTTTACTAGTGTGTGCAGGACACTATAGTTAATTTATGTAAGCGAGGAGAGCAAAATAAAATAAACTCATATTATACCCAAATATTCTTCATACAGTGACTACCAGTGACATTTATAAACATTTGGGATCAGAAATGATTCCTCCACTTTGAGCTGATCATGTTTTGATGGAGTGTGTTTTCTGTAACTGCTAATGCTCTTTTTACACACAGACTGAACAACATGAAGCATTGCTTGGTCACTGGTTGAGCTAAACTGGTATTATCTAATTGTGTAGTTAAATTTAACAGCTGACAGATATTCAACATAATTCATGTGTGAGAGTCTAACAGAAGGACGGACAAAACCAGTCAAATATCCACTGAGTTCTGCTCATATTTATCACCTTTTTCTAAACTATAGCGAATAAACTGATCATGTGAGAAATGTTGAAGGAGTCTGAATAAATTTTGGTTTGACTGTATATTGAGTTATTGTCTCATAACATAAAGAAGTGATTCTGAACTGAAACGAGTCATCAGTAATTCCAGTCTGTGTACGTTTGTAACACATTTGCATAATGCCCGCCTCTGGTCTTGATTGGCTGATCAGCGTCTCTTAGCTCCGCCCTCAAACACTAGTGTATCGGAGACTGGGAGAGTTTGGTTCGTGTTGTTCGTGTCGAGAAGACGCTGTTTTCTGCTAACAAAGCAAATCCACTTTGATGAGATTGATACGGTGAAACCCACGCCATCGTTACTGTTCGTATCACTGTGATCAAGAGCTGAGATTCAGATATGATAATGACTGACCAATCAGAGCAGAGCAGCTCTCAGAGAGGCGGGGCTTAGAGAGACTGAATCCTTGAGCGAAAGATCTTATTTATTAAAAAATCCACCACAATAGTTAGATAATATCAAAGACATCAGAGCGATTAGAAGAAGCAATGGAGGAACAAAATGATGCTGTATCAACAGCTTTGAGATTACGGTAGGATATAACAGTTGTTGAACATTTCTTACGCATAGGCAAGCTTAAGCTAAAATCAAGCAGTTTATAATATTGATATGATCCGAGATACCGGTATCAGATGAAGAGATGGAAGAGATATTAGGCCTCGATGTACAGATGAAATCAAGGGTATGGCCATGCGTATGAGTAGGAACATTAAAATGCTGAGTCAGATTAAAGCATTCAAAAATAGAAAAGTAAGTGATTAGTGTTAGAGCAAACAGCATCAACATGAATATCAAAGTCAATGAGCAGGCAAGAGTCAACAGTTCACTGAGAAAAGAAGTTGGACAGGACCTTAGGAGGACGATAGAGCAAGATAATTATAAGAGAGTCAGCATTTAATACCATTCAAATGCATTGATGTCGTGAAAGTCAAGTAGCTTGAGTCGGAGGTTATCACGATGGATGATAGCGAGACCGTGCAGTCGAGGTCTAGACAGATGCTTATATCCGTCTGGTGTAAGTAGATTTAACTGCAGAAAATCTTCAGGAACTTGCCAAGTTTCAGGGAGAAGAAAAATGTCAAGCTTATTGTCAGTGATCATTTCATTGAGATAAGGGGCTTTGTCCGAGATTGATCGACAGTTCAAAAGTGCAAAGTAATGATGCAAGACATTCAAATTAGAGCTATGTTGCTGATCGCTATCAATGAGATGAATAGTGAGACCGGCAGACGATTGTCTATGTATGGGCGATAGTCTGTAGTTGGTCCAGATGCATGGAAGAGCATCAGGCGTAAAGGAAAAGTTATGTATGTATGTGGTATGTATGTATTATATTCATACGTCATCGATCAAGACGCGGGCGGCATTTAAAGGCCCTTAGTTGTGATGCTAACTATCCAATATCCATTACGGATGCGAGACAAAAAATGAGGCAGAAGACAAAAGAAAGATTTTTTTTTTTTGCCCAGGGCATGTTGATACTGAGGAATTGAGAGCCAATCACAAGCAAAAACCACGTTAGCCAAACCCTGATGTCACTTCACCTAAAACACCAGATTAGATAGGAGACAACGCACCCAGATAGCAAGCAGTAAACAAACAGCGCAACCGACTGAGGGCCAGATGTACTAACGCTTTTGCGCCCTCTTCAGGCGTATTTGTTTTGCAAAGTGCGCATATAACCATGGCCAGACATGGGCAGTATTTCAATTAAATGTATTTTAAATACGTATTTAATTACTTTAGTGTATTTTGTAATTTGTATTTTGCCACAACTAAATGCTCATGTCTACTTATCTGGATTTAAAAAATCATCTGCACCAATTGAGCACATTATATATCACACATTTGTAATTAAAACAGGTGGATGGAAACATTGCTACTAATAGTAGAGCAAGGTTGTTTTTTTTCCACTTAAAGGGATAGTTCACCCCAAAATGAAAACTCTGTCAGTAATTACTCTCCCTCATGTTGTTCCAAACCTGTAAGACTTTCGTTCATCTTCGGAACACAAGTTAAGATATTTTTGATACTCGGCCTCGAGTTAGTTCACGTAGTGTAACTGCACAGCGCTTCTGGTTGTACAGAAGCTGTTACACTACGTGAACTCACTCGAGGCCCACAGAGAAGGAAATGAATAGTTGAATAAAGTTGTTATTTTTGTTTGTTTTTTTTGCGCACAAAAAGTATTCTCGTCGCTTGATAAACTTAAGATTGAGCCACTGTAGTCACTCGGATTATTTTAACAATGTCTTTAATAACTTTTCTGGGCCGGCCAGTTTCGATCCCTTAGAAGCCTATGGAGGAGTGATCCAGCTCTCAGATTTAATCAGAAATATATTAATTTGTGTTCCGAAGATGAACTAAGGTCTTACGGGGTTGAACAACATGAGGGAGAGTCATTACTGACAGAGTTTACATTTTGGGGTGAACTATCCCTTTAAGGAATGAATGTATATTGTCTTAGTTTGTAATCCACATAAAATGATGTTCATTTTGAATTTTCTATGTATTATACTCAGCATCAGGGCCAGTCACGGCTTTTCAATTATGGGATGGACATTTTGAACATGGTGTTCACGGGGGTCTTCGCAGTCGAAATGATTCTCAAACTGGTAGCCTTCCAGCCGAAGGTATGTGTCTCTGTAGTGTGAGTGTAAAGCTTGTGCCCCTGTCCCGTGATGTTTAACCCTTCTGCTCTCCTGTCCCCCCCGCTGGTGTGTGTCTGATCAGGGTTATTGTGTGGACCCCTGGAATGGGTTTGATGCACTGGTGGTGATTGGCAGCGTAGTAGACATCGTTCTGAGTCAGGTAGACGCCCGTCTCTCCTCTCGCCTGTCTGACCCTCACTTCTGCTAGCCGGCGTTTGTGTATGTGTGTTTATTTGGTCACTTGTCCTTCAGTGTGCTGTGTTTATAGATGTCTGACACAGAGCATGCTTTAAGAAGTCTTATTTATGGTTACAGAATTTAAGCCATACCAAAATAATAACAAAATATGTCAGATAAGAAGATATCAAATTGTTATTATGCAGATAAATATTTGTGCTCACTAATAAATAATGTAAAATACAGAAACTTGCGCCTTTGGCTATTTAACAATGTTTTGTGATGAAATTGAAAATGATTTGTATTATAATAGAAGCCAGTATAAATCATCATGTATGCACAGTTTAGTTTAATGTGATCATAGTTTAAGTGATCATAACATTTACAAAGCACAATCTGTGCTCATGAATGTGATAATTTACATGATGATTTATACTTGTTCTGATATGAGTTCTGCTCATGTTTCATGAATGAATATATTTAGAATCACAAAAAAAGTAAAAAAAAGTGAAGCGTCCGGAACACATTACAGTAGGTCATGCGAATGTCACAATGGAAAAGGTTTTCATTTTCTTAATGTATAGTATACTGTAGTTGTCTTTTGATTTTAGGGTGATATGTGACATAAACATTATTATGAAAACCAAATAAACTGTTATATATAAATACCCAGAATGCCTAGCTGATGTTGTTGCGGTAGGATGTGTCTCAATCCGCTCCCTAGTTTCAGTGCACTGGTCATCTCCAGAAATCTCACAATGAATGCAATAACCAGCAAGCATTGGTTTCTCAATACAATCCCATACAGGAAATGTCATCATGTCTTATTTAGAAATGGAGGACGAAGACATGATGGCAATCCATGACTTTTAACAGTTTCGGTACAATAAAGATGCGTGCTAAATGAAACAAGACCATCAGTGTCCCATTGTTGGGCTCAAGCCCCTTGCTAGTGTCTGAATTAGTGTTCACTGTACTCTGATTGCCATTATAGGGAGGTCGGGAGCAGAATGAGACACAGAAACAGTGTGTTGCTCTTTCTGTGTGCGGCTGCAACATCAAAACTGTGATTTTTCTTCTGTCTTTTTCTTCCCTCTTTTCTGTTCCTTTGTCAATCCATCTCTTTTCCTCTGCCATCTCTCTGTTTCGCTGGGTGTCCGCAGCACTATTTTGCCGATGCATGGAACACGTTTGATGCCTTAATTGTTGTTGGTAGCATCGTTGACATTGCGATCACTGAGGTCAATGTAAGTAATATGTGGTCCAGGCCCAGCTCTGTGTTCTCTCTTCTCTGTCTGTTTCTGTTCAGATATTAAAGGTGTTTTCCCATCTTACTACTGATATAAGGATGTAGTCACATCATTTGATATGTTTAGTGTGCAAAAGATAGGCTGTACAAGTCATTTCAACTCATTTTAACTCACTCAGTAAAGTAATGGAAAAACATATGTTGCCATGACTTATTAAAGGGATACTCCACCAGTTTTTCTTATTAAACTATGTTATTCCCTTAACTAAGACGAGTTGATACATACCTCTCTCGTCTCAGTGCGTGCACTATATCGCTCTGTATTGCCGCAAAACTATGTTAGCACTTAGCTTAGCCCATGCATTAAATATGGGCCAAGCAGAGAAGCGACCAAACACTTCCACGTTTTCCCTATGTAAACACAGTTACTCGAGTAGTGTAACTTGACCTGGGCTGGTGACACAAAATAAACCGTTGCGCTTTTCTAAGCGTTTAAAATTGATGACTATATTGTATGGCGGAATACCATAACAAGTGCTTTTGAGCACTTCCACTTGGCGCAATAATATCTTCACTCGTGAAAAGTCCTCTTACCGGCTCCCGCTTCCTCTCCCCCTCCCTCTGACATTTCCGTCAACCAACGTGACATGCGCCGGTAGTAGTAGTTCGAGCGGAGTTGACGAAGTAACAGGTTGTTGGAAGCTAGTTAGCATTCTAAACAGCACAGGCTCTCAATTTCGGTCGGCATCTGTTCGCAACAGTCACACTTGCACCACCAATTGCTGTTTGCCCGTGGTCTTTCGCCAGCTCCGGTCTGTTCTGGATCATATCTTTCTTGCCTCTCACGGTCCATAAGAGCTAATTCCTCCTCCGTGTACTCGGGTTCAAACAGATATGGCTCTGGGTCTTCTACAAAGAAGTCATAATCATCTACAAAGTCCGCCATTGCAAATGATCTGCAGTTTGCTAATAGCACAGGTAGTAAAAGTCACGTTGGTTGTATTGACGGAAATGTCAGAGGGAGGGGGAGAGGAAGCGGGAGCCGGTAAGAGGACTTTTCACGAGTGAAGATATTATTGCGCCAAGTGGAACTACTCAAAAGCACTTGTTATGGTATTCCGCCATACAATATAGTCATCAATTTTAAACGCTTAGAAAAGCGCAACGGTTTATTTTGTGTCACCAGCCCAGGTCAAGTTACACTACTCGAGTAACTGTGTTTACATAGGGAAAACGTGGAAGTGTTTGGTCGCTTCTCTGCTTGGCCCATATTTAATGCATGGGCTAAGCTAAGTGCTAACATAGTTTTGCGGCAATACAGAGCGATATAGTGCACGCACTGAGACGAGAGAGGTATGTATCAACTCGTCTTAGTTAAGGGAATAACATAGTTTAATAAGAAAAACTGGTGGAGTATCCCTTTAATCATATAATTTTTTTACAGTGTTTTTATATGTTTAAACTGTAAGTGTTCCCACCGAGGGAAGAATACCAAGTTCTGTCATGAGACTCTAGATGGCGCAGAATGATAGGTCCTCAATCTGCTTGCAATTACATGATTTATTTTTTAGGGCACAGCTGATTGGGTTCAGTTATTCATCAGTAGCCAATGAGCTTGCTGCACAACCTTCAAATACTTGGTCAGCATTTGCTGTAGCATTTGCAGCGCGCTTTCAAAAACCCTCCACGTTCCCCAGCTCCACCTGTATAGATTTGCTATGGGTAATAGCAATGCCAAGGTTTACTTGCTCACAACAGCGTGTCGTGCATATATATATATATATACTTGTTCTGCAGCAGCAGCAATAACAGCAACAGTAATAACATCAACAGTAATTATCAGCAGCAATAACAATAACAGCAACAGCAATAACAGCAGCAACAACAATAACAGCAGCAGCAGCAATAACAGCAGCAGCAATAATAACAGCAGCAACAATAACAGCAGCAGCAATGACGGCAGCAGCAATAATAGCAGCATCAGCAGCAATAACAATAACAGCAACAGCAATAACAGCAGCAACAACAATAACAGCAGCAGCAGCAATAACAGCAGCAACAATAATAGCAGCATCAGCAGGGATAACAGCAGCAGCAGCAATAACAGCAGCAGCAGCAATAACAGCACCAGCAACAATAACAGCAGCAGCAATAACGGCAGCAGCAGCAACAATAACAGCAGCAGCAATAACAGCAGCAGCAACAATAACAGCAGCAGCAATAACGGCAGCAGCAGCAATAACAGCAGCAGCAGCAATAACAGCAGCAGCAATAATAGCAGCATCAGCAGCGATAACAGCAGCAGCAGCAATAACAGCAGCAGCAATAATAGCAGCATCAGCAGCGATAACAGCAGCAGCAGCATTAACAGCAGCAGCAACAATAACAGCAGCAGCAGCAGCAATAACAGCAGCAGCAGCAATAACAGCAGCAGCAACAATAACAGCAGCAGCAGTGATTACAGCAGCAGCAATAACAGCAGCAGCACCAATAACAGCAGCAGCAATAACAGCAGCAGCAGCAATAACAGCAGCAGCAGTGATTACAGCAGCAGCAATAACAGCAGCAGCAACAATAACAGCAGCAGCAGTGATTACAGCAGCAACAATAACAGCAGCAGCAATAACAGCAGCAGCAGTGATTACAGCAGCAACAATAACAGCAGCAGCAATAACAGAAGCAGCAGCAATAACAGCAGCAGCAACAATAACAGCAGCAGCAATAACAGAAGCAGCAGCAATAACAGCAGCAGCAGCAACAATAACAGTAGCAGCAATAACAGCAGCAGCAGCAGCAATAGCAGCAGCAGCAGCAATAACAGCAGCAGCAGCAATAGCAACAGCAGCAATAACAGCAGCAGCAATAACAGCAGCAGCAGTGATTACAGCTGCAACAATAACAGCAGCAGCAATAACAGCAGCAGCAGCAGCAACAATAACAGCAGCAGCAATAACAGCAGCAATAACAGCAGCAGCAACAATAACAGCAGTAGCAGCAATAACAGCAGCAGCAATAACAGCAGCAGCAGCAACAATAACAGTAGCAGCAATAACAGCAGCAGCAACAATAACAGCAGCAGCAGTGATTACAGCAGCAGCAATAACAGCAACAATAACAGCAGCAGCAGCAGCAATAACAGCAGCAGCAACAATAACAACAGCAGCAGTGATTACAGCAGCAGCAGCAATAACAGCAGCAGCAGCAAGCAGCAGCAATAATAGCAGCATCAGCAGCGATAACAGCAGCAATAACAGCAGCAGCAGCAATAACAGCAACAATAACAGCAGCAGCAGCAATAACAGCAGCAGCAACAATAACAGCAGCAGCAGTGATTACAGCAGCAGCAGCAATAACAGCAGCAGCAACAATAACAGCAGCAGCAGTGATTACAGCAGCAGCAATAACAGCAGCAGCAGCATTAACAGCAGCAGCAGCAATAACAGCAGCAGCAACAATAACAACAGCAGCAGCAATAACAGCAGCAGCAGTGATTACAGCAGCAGCAACAATAACAGCAGCAGCAGCGATAACAGCAGCAGCAGTGATTACAGCAGCAGCAGCAATAACAGCAGCAGCAGTGATTACAGCAGCAGCAGCAATAACAGCAGCAGCAACAATAACAGCAGCAGCAGCAGCAGCAATAACAGCAGCAGCAGCAACAATAACAGCAGTAGCAGCAATAACAGCAGCAGCAGCAATAACAGAAGCAGCAGCAATAACAGCAGCAGCAACAATAACAGCAGCAGCAATAACAGCAGCAGCAGCAATAACAGCAGCAGCAACAATAACAGCAGTAGCAGCAATAACAGTAGCAGCAATAACAGCAGCAGCAATAACAGCAGCAGCAGCAGCAATAACAGTAGCAGCAATAACAGCAGCAGCAATAACAGCAGCAGCAGCAACAATAACAGTAGCAGCAATAACAGCAGCAGCAACAATAACAGCAGCAGCAGCGATAACAGCAGCATCAACGATAACAGCAGCAGCAGTGATTACAGCAGCAGCAACAACAATAGCAATAATAGCAGCATCAGCAGCGATAACAGCAGCAATAACAGCAGCAGCAGCAATAACAGCAACAATAACAGCAGCAGCAGCAATAACAGCAGCAGCAACAATAACAGCAGCAGCAATAACAGCAACAATAACAGCAGCAGCAGCAATAACAGCAGCAGCAACAATAACAGCAGCAGCAGTGATTACAGCAGCAGCAGCAATAACAGCAGCAGCAACAATAACAGCAGCAGCAGTGATTACAGCAGCAGCAATAACAGCAGCAGCAGCAATAACAGCAGCAGCAACAATAACAGCAGCAGCAACGATAACAGCAGCAGCAGCAATAACAGCAGCAGCAGCAATAACAGCAGCTGCAGCAATAACAGCAGCAGCAACAATAACAGCAGCAGCAGCAATAACAGCAGCTGCAGCAATAACAGCAGCAGCAACAATAACAGCAGCAGCAACAATAACAGCAGCATCAACGATAACAGCAGCAGCAGTGATTACAGCAGCAGCAGCAACAATAACAGCAGCAGCAGCAATAACAGCAGCAATAACAGCAGCAGCAGCAACAATAACAGCAGCAGCAATAACAGCAGTAGCAGCAATAACAGTAGCAGCAATAACAGCAGCAGCAGCAATAACAGTAGCAGCAATAACAGCAGCAGCAATAACAGCAGCAGCAGCAACAATAACAGCAGCAGCAGCAATAACAGCAGCAGCAGGAATAACAGCAGCAGCAACAATAACAGCAGCAGCAGCAATAACAGCAGCAGCAGCAACAATAACAGCAGCAGCAATAACAGCAGCAGCAGCAATAACAGCAGCAGCAGCAATAACAGTAGCAGCAATAACAGCAGCAGCAATAACAGCAGCAGCAGCAGCAATAACAGCAGCAGCAGCAACAATAACAGCAGCAGCAATAACAGCAGTAGCAGCAATAACAGTAGCAGCAATAACAGCAGCAGCAATAACAGTAGCAGCAATAACAGCAGCAGCAATAACAGCAGCAGCAGCAGCAACAATAACAGCAGCAGCAGCGATAACAGCAGCATCAACGATAACAGCAGCAGCAGTGATTACAGCAGCAGCAACAATAACAGCAGCAGCAATAACAGCAGCAGCAGCAGCAATAACAGCAGCAGCAACAATAACAGCAGCAGCAGTGATTACAGCAGCAGCAGCAACAATAACAGCAGCAGCAATAACAGAAGCAGCAGCAATAACAGCAGCAGCAATAACAGCAGCAGCAACAATAACAACAGTAGCAGCAATAACAGTAGCAGCAATAACAGCATTAGCAATAACAGCAGCAGCAACAATAACAACAGTAGCAGCAATAACAGTAGCAGCAATAACAGCATTAGCAATAACAGCAGCAGCAATAACAGCAGCAGCAATAACAGCAGCAGCAATAACAGCAGCAGCAGCAACAATAACAGCAGCAGCAATAACAGCAGCAGCAACAATAACAGCAGCAGCAATAACAGCAGCAGCAGCAATAACAGCAGCAGCAGCAATAACAGCAGCAGAAGTAGCGTAGCAGATCTATTCCGCCAAGACCAAACATACAACATCGTCATATCCATCACAATGCCAAACACATTTAGAGAGTTGTCATGACAGAACTGTACATCATACCTCAATAATTCAGCATGAGTTTGCTGTGTTCAGAAGCACCCATCTGAATGTGAGATTTAATACGAGCCCTTTCATCTGTTGAAGCACACAGGAGCTGCAGTATAGTCAGGGGTAAGATGCCCTGTGTGTTGTCTTGACAAGATCTTTGTCATGTGTATGGGGCCTTGAAGCGTTTGCTGTCTGAGAATGCGAAGCCTGCAGTGCATGAATAAACTCTGCATGAAACTCACCAGTGAATGAGGCAGAACACTCAAATCACGGTCCTGCTCACACTCGATCCACTGCGATGTGTGACAGAGACACATTGAAGTAAAGAGCGAAAGCACATTATAACTCATTAACTTGAGGTGTTTTTCTCAGAACACGGAGGACAGCGCAAGGATTTCCATCACGTTCTTCCGTCTGTTTCGTGTCATGCGCTTAGTGAAGTTGTTGAGCAGAGGAGAAGGCATTCGCACGCTCTTGTGGACCTTCATCAAGTCCTTTCAGGTACACTGCACTGCAACACATGATTCTCTCTTGTTTTCCAGTGAGATGAGAAATTTACTAACAGCTTGCGCCCTCTCCAGGATTTACGAAAGACATGTGGCTAACCTTATTGCATGTGCATTTGTAGGAGTTTCCCTTTCAGACACAAAATGTATGTGAGGAGACTATTTAAATAACTTGATCACTCAATGTGACTTACTAAGTTTTGCGGTAGTCAGTTTACTGGTATTTGCGACAAAAAGTTTTTATGTGGTCTGCTAGAATACATTTACATAATCTGATATGCAAAAAAAAACGTAATGCCTTAAAATATCTTGAATGTAACTCGACACCCTTGCCTCATTTAGTATGCGCGGTTCTATGAATATGCAAATGAGCCCCGCCTCCACTCACTCACTCACTCAGCTCAGAGATCCACTGGTTGACGATCACACGTTGATCTGATTGGTTACAAGGTCGTTTGTGACGTCAGAAACACCAGCGATTTCAAACCGTGTTTTTGAGACTGTCTTTGGTTCACTGCAGTTTTAAGCAGGAAATACTCAGCAATGCTGGCGACTTATTAACAACGAAACGTCTAGGCATAGATGACATAATCAGAAACTATGGAAGCTTATAGAAACAGGAACTAAACACAGAGAAAACAGAAAACACTGAGCCAAATAATCTTCAAAAGAAGAGATACACACTTACTGAAGCTCACGTCTTCTGTCTGCTGATAACAGTTGTAACTCGCATCTGAGACTAATAGTAAACTAACCTGTCCATATGAAGCTTTTATTGCAGATTTAAAAACACATAAATTAAACTGTAATGTTGTATGTGTATCGTTTATTGAGCGATATTTAGTTCATATTCATATTCCTCCTCTGTCTCAGGCTCTTCCGTACGTGGCTCTGCTCATCGCCATGCTGTTCTTCATCTATGCTGTCATTGGGATGCAGGTGAATCATCTGCGGGTGTATTGCAGTAACACTCTGAATTATGAATTACAATAATGACATTGTTTTACACTTTTAGGTGTTCGGGAAGGTCGCTATGGTGGATGGAACCAGCATTAATCGTAACAATAATTTCCAGACCTTTCCACAAGCTGTGCTCCTGCTGTTCAGGTGTGTGTGTGTGTGTGTGTGTGTGTGTGTGTGTGTGTGTGTGTGTGTGTGTGTGTGTGTGTGTGTGTGTGTGTGTGTGTGTGAGAGTGTGTGTGTGAGAGTGTTTGTGTGCGTTTGTGTCTGTGTGTGTGTGTGAGAGTGTTTGTGTGCGTTTGTGTCTGTGTGTGTGTGTGAGAGTGTTTGTGTGTGTGTGTGTGTGTGTGCGTGTGTGTGTGTGATTAATATTTAGTGAGACTTACTGGGATGACAAAACCTGTACACTCATTATCAAAGCAGTGTAAAATAGTAGGCTATTAACTAGTAAAAAAATGTGAAGGTGAATTAATGTTTTTAATAAGGACACGTATTTATCAAAATATAAAATATGTTCTTCCTCAGTATTTTTGTCTTGTTTTAAAGATTTTAACATAACATTTAACATTTAAATCAAGATACATTCACTAGAGAAGCAAAATTACTTAACGGGACAGTTCACCCAAACTTTTGTCTTAATTTAATCACCCTCAAATTGTTCAAGTTTCTTTCTTCTGTTGAACACATGAAAGATATTTTAAAGAATGTTTGTAAGCAGACAGTTGTATTTTTCCTAATATAGAAGTCAGTGGCTGCCATCAGCTGTCTGAAAACATGAATGTGCCATTAATTGTAGTAATTCCCATAGTGCAAGCACAGGAGAGTCAGTGATTGTGTTTCCCCGTGTGTGTGTGTGTGTGTGTGTGTGTCAGGTGTGCGACGGGTGAAGCGTGGCAGCAGATCATGTTGGCGTGTTTGCCTGGGAAACTGTGTGACTCTGAGTCCGACTATAACCCTGGAGAGGAGAAGACCTGCGGCAGCTCCTTCGCCATCCTCTACTTCATCAGCTTCTACATGCTCTGTGCTTTTCTGGTATTACTCTCTAAATATTTCAGCTTTTAAGATGTGTTTAGCGTTTGGTCAGGACCTATGATGATTTCCCATCTGTGTTTAGTGTGTGATGTTGCTGTTTGAGCATGAGAAAGCTCCAGTTCTTCTCTATATCAGTGTCAGTGTTTCTGAACTCCTGAAACGCCTCCATTGTAGTCTTGAGTTTCTTCCGGGAACGAACACGTCACAATATTCCTCATTATAATAATTCATACGCAGAATAAAGGGGCGGGGCCTGGTTGAGTTAGTTAGTAGTGTGTTAAACTGGCGGTTATGGAAAGGGGCGGGACATTTTCCAAACACACTCGAAGCGCTCGACCAATCACAACACACCGCTCCAGCCAACCAATCAGAGCACAGTGTGCTTTTCAAAAGGAGGGGCTTCATAGAGACAGGAAGTAAACAGAGCGTTACTGACAGACTGGGAAGAGAGGAGCCGCAACAATGGAGAATATGAGGAAAATAATCAACATTCAAGCAGGAAAACCTGTTCTAGAAGAGTCTGAAAACAACATCACTTTGTAAAAGGGCAGAATAGTTCCTCTTTAAGCATAATCAGTTTCGAATAAAATAATGTGTTGTTATTGTCTTTTTCTCTTTAACATCTCTCTGAACTGTTTTCTTACTCACTGTTTTTTATTTAGTTATTTGACACAAATTGTAGGCTATTGCTCAGTTTTATTACTGTTCCCCCCTCCCAGATCATTAATTTGTTTGTTGCTGTCATCATGGACAACTTTGACTACCTGACGCGTGATTGGTCGATTCTTGGACCGCATCATTTAGACGAATTCAAGAGGATCTGGTCGGAATATGATCCCGAGGCCAAGTATATATTCTAAAGATGTTTTACTTCTAGTTCACTCTGTATGTTTTGTTTGACAGTGAATACAGTGTGTGTGTATGTGTGTGTGTTTATCAGGGGCCGTATCAAACATTTAGATGTGGTGACGCTGCTGCGCAGGATTCAGCCGCCGCTGGGCTTTGGCAAACTGTGTCCTCATAGAGTGGCTTGCAAGGTATTGTACATAACACACACACACACACACACACTCACTCATGATCAAATCTTCATTAAACTGGTCGTTCAGAGACTAGACAGACAGGTGATGCACTCTAGTGGCTGAACACACACACACTTTCTGTGTAATGACTTTCTATGTGGGTGTCACTGTTGATTAGCACAAATTCAGTAATTATGCTCAGACTTATAATTACACTCCTACTGTCACGAACACGAATCATATAAGTACATCATGATCGCCATTTTAGGCCTAAAAAAATCAGCAAAAAATCCTGTGAAATCCTGATGGGACCATTTATGAGCCTGTCATATATATAATACTGTTAACTCGAGGAAGTGTAAATATAAACACACATTATATCTTCCTCATAATCGTCTGTCTCCAGAGGCTGGTTGCCATGAATATGCCACTGAACAGTGACGGGACGGTCATGTTCAACGCCACCCTGTTCGCTCTGGTCAGAACTGCGCTGAAGATCAAGACTGAAGGTAAAGCTTTGGTGACGGAGACTTCCACACGTCTGTGCTGGTGTGAATCTTACTCACGAGTGTGTGTGTGTGTGTGTGTGTCTCAGGCAATCTTGATCAAGCCAATGAGGAGTTACGAGCCGTCATCAAGAAGATCTGGAAGAAAACGAGCATGAAACTGCTGGACCAAGTGGTGCCACCTGCTGGAGGTCACACACACACACACACGAACACACACACATACATATGCACACACAGACGCACGCACACACATACACACAGGCGCTCACACACGCACACACATACACGCATACACACACATACGCACACACATATGCACACACATACGCACACACACACATATGCACACACAGACGCACACACATACGCGCATACACACACATACGCACACACACACATATGCGCACTCTCACGCACACACACATACGCGCATACACATACGCACACAAACACACACATATGCACACACACGCACACATATACACACACACACACATGATCGCACGCACACACACACGCAAAGAAAATAGTCCAGCTTAAGCAAGTTCAGTGATGGTTAATTTTTGTTGTAAAAAAGTTATTAATTGATTTCATTTATATATATATATATATATATATATATATTAAGGGTGTCACGATTTCAATCTTAAATCGAAATCGATCGAAATTAAAAAAAATTCTAATCGATCGAATTAAAAAATGGAATCGTCGATGCTGCCACGCCCCCATGTCACGTCCGGTCGGTCGGCGTCCCAAGCGGGAAAAATCGCAATCGCGCATGCGAGACAGAAAAAACTGTGCTCCAAACCGTATAGCGCGCGCACGGGAGAGAGAGAGAGATCTTGCGTATGTGCCTCATGAAACGCATGTAAGACAGAGAGCATCCTGATTGGCCGGTTTCAGCTTTAAAAAAATTAATGTAAAAATCGAGAATCGAGTCAAACCGTGACCTTAGAATCGAAAATTTAATCAAATCAAGGATTTGGAGAATCGTGACACCCCTAATATATATATATACACTCACCGGCCACTTTATTAGGTACCCCATGCTAGTAACGGGTTGGACCCCCTTTTGCCTTCAGAACTGCCTCAATTCTTCGTGGCATAGATTCAACAAGGTGCTGGAAGCATTCCTCAGGGAGTTTGGTCCATATTGACATGATGGCATCACACAGTTGCCGCAGATTTGTCGGCTGCACATCCATGATGCGAATCTCCCGTTCCACCACATCCCAAAGATGCTCTATTGGGTTGAGATCTGGTGACTGTGGAGGCCATTTTAGTACAGTGAACTCATTGTCATGTTCAAGAAACCAATTTGAAATGATTAGAGCTTTGTGACATGGTGGAAGTAGCCATCAGAGGATGGGTACATGGTGGCCATAAAGGGATGGACATGGTCAGAAACAATGCTCAGGTAGGCCGTGGCATTTAAACGATGCCCAATTGGCACTAAGGGGCCTAAAGTGTGCCAGGAAAACATCCCCCACACCATTACACCACCACCACCAGCCTGCACAGTGGTAACAAGGCATGATGGTTCCATGTTCTCATTCTGTTTAAGCCAAATTCTGACTTTAACATCTGAATGTCTCAACAGAAATCGAGACTCATCAGACCAGGCAACATTTTTCCAGTCTTCAACTGTTCAATTTTGGTGAGCTCTTGCAAATTGTAGCCTCTTTTTCCTATTTGTAGTGGAGATGAGTGGTACCCGGTGGAGTCTTCTGCTGTTGTAGCCCATCCGCCTCAAGGTTGTGCGTGTTGTGGCTTCACAAATGCTTTGCTGCATACCTCGGTTGTAACAAGTGGTTATTTCAGTCACTGTTGCCCTTCTATCAGCTCGAACCAGTCTGGCCATTCTCCTCTGACCTCTGGCATCAACAAGGCATTTCCGCCCACAGAACTGCCGCTCACTGGATGTTTTTTCTTTTTCGGACCATTCTCTGTAAACCCTAGAGATGGTTGTGCGTGAAAATCCCAGTAGATTAGCAGTTTCTGAAATACCCAGACCAGCCCTTCTGGCACCAACAATCATGCCACGTTCAAAGTCACTCAAATCAACTTTCTTCCCCATACTGATGCTCGGTTTGAACTGCAGGAGATTGTCTTGACCATGTCTACATGCCTAAATGCACTGAGTTGCCGCCATGTGATTGGCTGCTTAGAAATTAAGTGTTAACGAGCAGTTGGACAGGTGTACCTAATAAAGTGGCCGGTGAGTGTATATATACAGTATATAGCCTATCTGGAAAAAAACGTGATGTCATCATCCAGCTCTGTTCAGTTCCCTTTCGAGGAAACTCGAGCTGCGTCGAGACGCGGTGGGAACGCCCCTGCGTGAGTGCGTCGTGAAGCACGTGTATATTCAGTCCAATGGAGAGACGAGACGTCATAGGCGGGGGACGTCATCGACCAGGAAACTATAAAGCTCACCTGAAAACAGACCGCGCTGTGCCTTCAGCGAGCGCTCTGTGAAACTGTCTCTGTCTATTAATTGTTGTTTGTCCACAAGCATAAATTATATATTTAGACAGGAGTATGTCGAGCAAACAGCTTTGGATCGTGTGTTCGTCACTGCCCTCGCTTCATTACTCGTGGGGACACACGCGATTCATGTGCTGTCTCTTTGGGAGTGGAGCATGCACGTCAGCTCTAGTAAAAGGGGGCTGACAGTGTTCATTCATATATTCCCCACGTGTAACATATGCACTATGGAGAGTTTTAGCTCTGCTCCTGCTGGCTTTCTTCTCGAGGGAAGAAAGTGAATAAAGATTCTTTGGCTCGGATCTCGCGTTTGCCGAGGCAGCGCATAGATTACGGGTTTGCAATGTATAACATGCGCAGGGAACTGTGCAGACGGGAATTTCCCTTTCTCTCGTTCTCTTATGATTGTGTGCAAACTAATTATGTATTCTTTATTGTTTGAGATTATACTATGAAGTCTATATTAATACACTATATTCAGCCTTTCACCTCGACCGTTTTTTCTTGTCTGCTTGATATTTGGCTGCATTTAATTTTTAAAAAAAATTTATATTTACTCATTTGATCTTTGAGGACTTAAATGTCCTTCCATGTAGCCATCCGTCCTCATCACAGGAAGTCCCTGAGGTTCGCTTTCGGGGGCGAAGTGTACCAATATCGGTTTCTTCCGTTTGGCCTAGATAAAACTAGGCCAGTCACTGACTGTGAAACAGAGACTGTTGGGTCTCATGGCAGCTGCGTCTAATGTAATAACTTTTGGCCTCCTGTACATGAGACCCCTGCGGTGGTGATGCAGAACCAAGGGGTTTTCTCAGAGGGGAAATCATGCATATTTTCGCATGATCAAGGTCACATGGCGATGCCTACATGCCTTGTGGAAGAAACCTTGGTTCCTCGCCCAAGGCCCAGTGTTGGGGGCTTCTTGTCGTCGCGTAATGCTAACGACAGATGTGGGGGATCATGAGTGGTCGCTCGGCGCAAGGTCTGTGGCAGGACCATCTACTCTCTTAGCACATCAATCGGCTAGAAATGATGGTGGTGTTTTGAGCTCTCAAACACTTCCTACCAGACCTGAGGGGCAACACATCGGTGGTTTCTTACATCAACCATTTGGGGGTCTGAGGTCACGTCACTTTATGCAAACTGGCACCAGATCGTCCTGTGGGCCCAAGGGAATTTGCTCTCTCTAAAGGCAATTTACATCCCGGGGTTTTTAATCCAGGAGCAGACATCCTGTCGAGGCAGGGGCCCGGGGAATGGAGACTCGCCCCTGTGGTGTGTAAAACTTTGGTCAAGCGGAAGTAGACCTGTCCGCATCTTAAGAGACGACACACTGTCCCCTGTGGTTCTCCCTCAGTCAGCCAGCTCCTCTGGGGCTGGACGCTATGATGCAGACGTGGCCGAGGTCACGTCTGTACGCATTTCCCCTGATCTCTCTGCTCCGGGGAGTTCTGGAGAGAGTTCGCCGGGACGGGGCCTGTCTTCTGTTTATAGCCCCGTTTTGGCAGGCCTGAGTGCGGTTCTCAGACCTAGAGTCTCTCCTCGACGGCTCTCCTCTGGAGATTCTGCTCGGGGGGACTTTTCTCTCAGTCGAGCGGGTTGATCCTTCACCCCCGCCCAGAATTGTGGAAACTTTGGGCTTGGCCTTTGAGGGGGCCCAGCTCATAAGTTCAGATCTCTCAGCAGAGGTTTTTGAGACCATCCTCCACTCCAGAGCTCCCTCCACGAGGAAACTCTACACCTTGAAGTGGATATTGGGGAGACGCCCTCTAGTAACGTTTCCTTCGTGCCACTGTGAGACGTCAGACCAAGATACTAGGAGTATGGCTGCTTCTAAAACATTATTGTCAGGAGTTTCCCTTCAATATGTTTGTGATGTGGCGGGATGTTGCCTCGCAGCTCACATTAGTGAGGTTTTAGTCCTTGATCTCGGCTCCACTCCAGGGGCGCAGGTGCTTTCGTCTTGGTGTGCGCAGAGATTTCACACGGACAGGCGCTTGTTACTATGGCGTCGTGGGTATAGTGTTCCCACAGCGCCTCGACGCAGCGTCTCGTTCCCTCTTTAGGGAATAAGGGTTACAGTCGTAACCTGAGACGTTTTCATATAATGGTGTCAATGCAGGCAGATCAATAATATTGTTGAATATTAAATGTAATGTAGCTATACATACAATATAGTTGTCTGTAATGAAATGAGTTGGTTATTGGCTGTGTGTGTGTGTGTTTAGATGATGAGATCACTGTTGGGAAGTTCTATGCCACTTTCCTGATACAAGATTACTTCAGGAAATTCAGGAAGCGTAAAGAGCAAGGGCTTGTGGGAGGCCAGCCGCTGTTCAACTCCACCACCGCTCTACAGGTGAACTTACACTTGAACATACTTCAAACCTGGTGTACTGAAGGTGTGTGTGTGGGTGTGTATAAAAACACTAGATCCTGCTGTACTAATATGGCCTACTGAGTAGATTTCTTAGTAAATTGAATGTGTGTGAATCGATGATTTAATGAATGATGTAATACTGATATAGATTTTTTTTTCTTTCTATGACAACCACAAATATTGAAACTATGATATTTTGCCTCAAAGGAATAGTTCACTTAAAAATGCGAATTCTGTTATAATTTACTCACTCTCAAGTTGTTTCAAACCTTTATGAATTTATTTCTTCTGCTGAACACAAAAGAAGATGTTTTGAAGAATGTCGGCAACCAAACGGTTGATGGACCCCATTGACTTCCATACTATTTTTTCCCCTAATATTTTATTCTTTTGTGTTCAGCAGAAGAAAGAAATTCATACAGGTTTGAAACAACTTGAGAGTGTCTTATGACAGAATTTTCATTTTGAAGTGAACTATTCCTTTAACAACTTTGGAAGCTTGTTTCCATCACTCAATAAAAAAGATCATTAGGACTTTTTAATCTCACAATTCTGACTCATAATTGGGAGTTTGAGACTTTATAACTCACAATTCCCAGCTTATATCTCAAAATTTTAAGAAAAAAGGTCATAATTGTGAGTTATAAACTTGGAAATGCGAGTTATAATGTCCAAATTGTGAGATCGCGATAACCTTTTTTATTATTTTTTTTACTTTGTGGCAGAAACAAGCATCCATTAAAAGCTAATTGAAATTATGCTTAAAAATAAAAAAGGCTGATAAGTGGAAAGTAAAAAGTGCTTCCATTAAACGCTGCCCACAGACATGGAAATACTGTAAAAACTTCTCCTGAATGATGATAATAATGTTAAATATGTCACAGGCTTGTCACATGCGTCTCTTCTGCAGGCTGGTCTGCGCACACTGCATGATATCGGGCCTGAGATCCGGCGAGCCATATCATGTGATCTCCAGGACGAAGGACTCGTGGACGTCAGGAACCTTCACGAGGAGGAAGAGATATATGGGGTAAAGCGATCAGTGTTTATCAGTGCACATCTAACTTAAATAGTAGAGCTGCACGATTAATCGTTAAAAGATGGCAAAATCAATCATTGAATCATTCATTCAAGAGATGCGTTCACTTGTTTCATTACTGGATTAATCAGCGTTTTTGAAGTATTTATGAGTGAGTCATTGAATCATTCGTTCAACCGTTTTTAAAAAATAATTAATTCAAAATGATTTAACATTTTAAATTAGCATTTTGTCAGAACCTCTAGTAAATTAGATGTTATTTTGTTTAGTTGTCAGATTAGAATTGTGATTTCTGTTTAAAAAAAAATCATGATTCTCAATTTAACCAAAATTGTTGCCGCTCTATTAACTAGTAGAGCATTGCGCTCGCAAACCAAACGTCTCGGGTTTGATCCCAAGGAATGAATGTGTGAACTGATCAAATATATACCTTTTTCAAAAGCAACATAAAAGCATCAAAATATGTGTACAGGGACGTGCACAGGGGGGTTGCTCAGGTTGCCCGGGCAACTGCCCATATGCCCTTCTCACTCAAGTTGCCCTTCTCACTCAAGTTGCCCTTCCGAGAAAAAAATTAAATCGTACAATAGGTGCAGAATTTCACGTAGGCCTAGATTAAAAAAAAAAAAAAAAATCGCAAAGCCTCATTCACTTCCATTCGGGCACCGAAAGTGAAAGTCAGTATGAAGGGCAAACGCTGCACGCGACCATAGACTGCACGCGACCGGCGTAGGGCCACGCAAATTACTTAAGGCCACGCCTCCATCTCGTGTCATAGTCATAGCGCGCCGTCAAATGTGTAGCTACAACATCTACGACAAAATGAAGCGAAACTATCCTTCTGGTCACGAAAAGAGGAAGAAGAAAAAAACCATGAGAGTGAATTGCGGGAACAACAATCAGGTAAACTTGTGTTCTCTCCTCTCTAAGTTTGATGTCAGCAAAGTTTGATGTTTTTCGGTCTTGCTAACCTAGCTGGGCAGGCAGTGCATCTCTTGCATCACTTTGTGGCTGACAAAAGTGAGAGTAAAGTACAATTATTTATTACGTTTGATTTTGATAAACGACAAAGTGCAACGGTGTTTTTTATTGCAGCTCGGAAAACATAACCGCGTCGCGTGTGTTATCATGCGTTCATATGCGCGTTGCCGAAATGAAACTCGCATTTTTCAAGCAGAAATATGTGGAGACCAGACATACTGTACAATACATGCACGTGAATGATGCCACTCCCAATCAAAGTACACATTATACTTTTAAAACAAGACACTGATTATCAAGTCTCAGTGTAGTTACAAACTCTAAACAACTGCACTAATTATGCAAGATAGAAAGCAATGTATTGACAATTTGACATTGATTGACTATTGATTTATAGGCTATATTGAATTAAAAATGTTGATTAGCTGGACATACTGGTCAAAATGGATGCACATCCCTCAGTAAATAATAACCATAAATCAAGAATTGCTTCAACAATAATAAAAAATAATAAAAAAAATCATACTGATGCCGAAAATGCCCAGGCTGTAGAAAGAACCAAAGTTAATCCCAAAAGCCAAAGCTCAGGGTTATTATTTATTATTTTCTTCTTATTTATGTTTACTTTAATATTCACTTACTTAATAATATTCACTTATTATCTTAACATTCTATAGAAAATACTCTATTCAATAAATATTGTGTGTTTGAACCTCATTCTGTTCTATATTGTTGTACTTATTATTTGACTGTTTTGTTTAAAGGGGGGAGGATGGGAGTGCTGAAGTGTCAGGTGTGACTGTGGCAATGGCAAATGGTTTACATAGCTCACGACATCAGAGGGCCCCTTAGCAGAATTTTGCTTAGGGCCACAGGGAGGTCAGGATCGGCACTGGGTGTAGCAGTCGATTCTGTTCCTTACCGGAATTCCTGTTCCCTTTACGCAATCATACTACAAATCATGCGTAGTTGCCCAGATGAGCAAAAAGCACAATTGAATGTACGGGAAGCCAAAAGGTTAAAAAAGGATTGTATTTTTTCCGAAATCTAAGCGTTTTATTTTATTTTATTAGAAGCGAGTTTTTCCCCATCTGTCAATTCAATCCAGATTATTTATTTAAAAAAAAAAATAAAAAAATAATAATAATTAAAAAACAATAAACAATAATATGAGGAACTCTTTTTCTCATGTGTATTTTGGTGACATTTAACATATTGTTAATACATTTTGTATACTGTTTACAAAGTTGTATATCATAAACCTGTCATCTTTGACGTTTGCAATCTTTATAAATAATAATAAGACCATAATATGAGGCATTGCGTTTGGAAATAAACACGATCAGATAAGGCAATTTGTATGGGCAAAATTCAACTGAATATATTCCTTCATATAGCCCGTGAGTTTTGGGGGTAGTGCCCTTTTTTCAGGTCAGAGCAACTGCCCCACAAAATTCCTGTGCACGTCCCTGTATGTGTACATATGGGGTAAGATGCCCAAGACGTCACTAAATAACTGAAACATATTATAGAATGGTTATACTCTTTTTCTTATACTCTCATTATTCTTGACAAATCTTACATTCGTTTAGATTTGTAGTGTAAAAAATATATAAAAACTGTAACAAACCTCTGAAAATGTGACGTTGATGTCCCTGTGATAACAGACCAGTGTGTAAAACTCTTGGACGTATTTTAAAGAGTCTATGCTGTAAACTTTACATACTTCACATACTTTTGAAAATCCAGAGTTTAGTTGATCCTGATAAGCGCTCATTTTCTGTTAGAAAAACAACGGCTTTCCTTTTCCATGAGGGGGTTTGGCATCGCGGCGGACCGACCAATCAGAGTGTTTTTTGTGTGCCATAAGCATCAGACGTCCTGAGACTATAGTTATCATAGATATAATACTGCTTACAGCTGCTTATGAAGCCTCAGGAGCTGAGAAGTGTCCACATACTCTAAATGGTTGACCAATCACAACAGACTGGGCCAGCTGACCAATCAGAGCAGACTGGGCTTTTCAGGAAGGCAGAGCTTTAAAGAGACAGGAACTAAAAGCGTTTCAGGCGGAGGGTAAAAAGAGGCGCTGTAGCAATGTACTGTATGTTTTCTAAACTATAAATGGTGTAAATGTATTCTAGCAGACCACAAAAATAAAGTTATGATCTTGTGAATGAGCATAAAATGGACACTTAAAAAATATATAATATATAACTTTTATATATTATATAAATATATGTTTATGTTTAATGGTTTTATGTTTAAAACAACACCAAAAACCTTGAAAAATTATATTTGAAATCAAATGAAATGCTTCCTGTTATAAGGATCTCTATATTTTTCAGACATGTCAGTGTATAGGATTCGATAAAAACGAAGGACTCGATGGGAATTGTTTTTGATCCTGTATTTGTTTGATCCTGAATCTGTTGTGTGTATTCGCAGAGGAATGGAGTTGTGATTGGGAGTCTGGTCAATCATGCGAGTGGAGATCAGTACAGCACCAGCGTTACCCAGCGTCCTTTGCAGCTCCCGCTCCCTCTTTACTGCCAGTCAGACACCAGATCCTCCAACTCGAATGTCAACAGTGCCAGCGTGCCGGCGGGCCCCGTCTTCACCAACGGCTGGCACAGTCGGCCCTCCAGGGGCCTGGTGTCCTCTCTCAGCTCATACCTCAACCTCAGGAGTGATGGAGAAACACAGCTCAGGACTCACTCCAAGAGGTGAGAGGTCACATGACCACAGGATCACCACAGGAAAACAAAAACAAACAAACTTTGGGCTTACCCAACTCAGTTGTCGTCAAATGAACGGCCGGAACACATTAAAAGATTTCTGTTTTTTAGTTAAAACGGTGTCCTGTAAGCGGACCCTAAGTTAATAACTAATGATCTTTGCAATGGAAGTGAATCAATCAAAAACTATAACAATAACTTTATTCTAGAGCTATATATATTGCCTGCTCACCCAGTTCCTTGATTATTACGCAGGAAAGAGAGTATAGTTCCTAGCCATATTGTCCTAAAAAATCACAACTTTTAATTTTCCGTCTGTCTTAGTTCACGGTGTAACTACAGAAGAGGCAAGTTTTAAATAGGAAAAATATCTAAACTGTTTGGTCATTTTTTTTAGAGAGATGCTAACAGTCTAATCAGATTCAGTGATCTATGCTAAGCTATGCTAAAAGTGCTAACGCCAGACCCGGAGATCAGCTGAATGGATTCGAAAACGGTAAAACTCGACTGTTTAACTCTAGGGGAGTTGGAAAATGAGCCTATTTCCAAAAAAAGTGGAGTGTTCCTTTAAGTAAAGTAAACTACTATGGTGTGTTTTCCTAATGATTGGATGCTCCTGTGTCTCGCAGGCCTTGCTCTAGTGCTGTCGGATATCCCACTATCCACGTGCAAAACCCCAGTCATGCTGACATCAGCGATGAAGACAGAAACTCAGTTACGGAGTATTACAGCGGAGACGAGCTTCACGAGGAGGACTTCATGCTGGCTAGAGACAGGTATGGCTTACAAACTCTTCAGAATGTGTACATCAATAATAGCAAAATATCTTTATCTTCTCTTTGATTCTCTTGCCAGGTCGTACAAAGACTTCCAGGACACTTTGAGTGACTGTGCTGCGGTTCGACAACTGGATGTGTGTGAATGTGTGTGTGACGATGATGAGCAGCTCATATCCCAGCAGTCTCAGAGGTCATCAAAACGACAATGTGAGATATTAGAAGAAAATTAATAACACTCTTTTAATAGTGTCGCACCAAGTGGCTTTCAAACTGCTTTTAACTGAGAGCTAGCATTAGTTAGGGAATAAACATGAGGCTGAATTGCTCCAAGCTGTTAAGATCAATGGAAATGCGGTTATATCAATATTTTATGGTACAGGGTCCTTTACTTTCTTGCTTTTCATTTTTGCATAGAAAATAGTGCAGCACTGGACAAACGATGAAGATTAACTAGGCTTTTAATCCTCTGTTTGGTCATTGTTAGAATTTTTTACTTTATCAGAATATTACGAAACTTGGTAAAGGTTTTGGCGCTTGCTATATGAACACACATACAAAACATTATGGCTATGTTTCGAAAAGGTTAAATGGTTCTGAAAAAACAGTCACACTAGTGTTCCTCGCGGTCAAAAATGAATGGGAAACGTCTCAGGTTACGACTGTAACCTTTGTTCCCTGAGAACAGGGAAGAGACAATACGTCATTCGACGCTATGGGGAACGACAGGTGTCTGAAATCACTATCAAATCACGTCAATCACATTGACCGGCGACAGCCCGTGAATCATTAAAGCTGCAGTCCGTAGCTTTTCCTCTTTGTCGCCATCTCTCTGTTCGAAATCTGTAACTGCAGTGATTCGCGGAATTATCATCTTTACGTGGGTTATAAATCGGCATGAAACAGCGCGGATGAACACAGTGTTTTGAGGCGAGTGGTGCTGTCAGTGCTGTGTGGATACTGTCATACAGAATCACAGATTCACTTTTTGAAAGTTTGACCAACATAAGAATTTTCATAAGAAAATGTCTTCTGAACAAGTAAGTAACATCCATTTTTGTTCTGACCAACTAAGGGGGGAAAAGCATTCGACATGATAAGCTTTGTTAGATTTAATCAACGCGATTTACAGCAACCGTGCAAATTATAGCCTACTTTGTTCTCAAATTGTTCATGTTAACAACATCACATCAGCATTGCGTGACTATTGTTAAATTTAATGTGTTTTATGGTTACCTGTGTAGTTCAGAATTCATATTCTCCATAATAGCAAAACGAGAAAGGCACAACAAAGGAAACTCCATAACTGTGTGAATTAAGAAAACGTACTGTTACACGATTGAACTATTGAAACGTCTTACTTGTTCAGCAGAAAAAAGCCGTCTCTTCTTCCGTTTTGAACCCCTTCAAAACACGGAGTTCACGCACTTTTCAAAAGCCCCGCCGATGTTTAAATCCTTATGTTCGCATGAGACGGTTTCTTTCTCTTTCTCTAGCCACCTTAAATCCGAAGTACGAAGTCTTTTGGGTTTTATAACTGCTGAATCTCCAGTTGACACTGATGCTTGTTGTTTGGATCTTTCTGGATGCCATAAGTTTAATTATGTAAAGTGCTGCGAGAAAAGCCTATACATCTAAACATCTCGTCACGCGCAGTATAACCGGCTAGCCGAAACTCCTTCTTTATGTGTACTGGTGTGACGTAATGACGCAAAGACATGCTCGAATTTCCCGCGGAAACCCACCAGTAACACTGGAATTAAAATCATTATTACAAGCTAACCGTTTTGAATCTAGCTATGGCAAGCAGATAGTTTTGACCACTGGCAGAATAACATTTTTTTAATATAATTATTGTGGATTATTTTTAACTTAAAAAAGCTACGGACTGCAGCTTTAAGTGAAATGATTAACGTGCGACCTGGAAGTATAAAAGGGCGCCTTGCAAACGTGACAAATCACCTTATCGTCTGAAGGGACTGTACGGCAGGCAAGCCCCGAGGCATGGCAGGGAGACGTATTGTCTCGTTCCCTGTTCTCAGGGAACAAAGTTACAGTCGTAACCGGAGACGTTCCCTTTCGAAGGGAACTCAACAATACGTCATTTGACGCTATGGGGAACGAAATACCCACTCCGCCATGCTGAGGGGAGTGCATGCCCAAAGGCAGTGACAACTGTCAGAACCAGCAATTTCAAATGAAACGCTAGAACCACTCACCGTCAGGTCACACTGGGCTGTCAGTGACAGCATTCCCTACGGTCATAGCCCAAGCTAAAAGCCTAGCAGGAAAACCTCCATAAACATGGTTAAATGAAAAGGTCTACCTGGGCCTGCTCAAAGGCCTAGGACCACAACTTCAATTAGAAGGGGTCCCTTCTAGGGAATGTGGCTAGGGAACCCGAAGGAACCCCAGCCAGTCACTATTCAGGGGAACGTACTCACCCCGAAGTGCCACCAGGACGGCCTGACCTGGTGTCAGAGCATAGACACTTAGTCTGGCCACTTCCTGTCTGTCCGAAGACAGAGCCTCTGGACAGTTGCCTTAAGTAAGGCATCCAAGCCGAGGGACTGCGAAGCTGGCTGTGAACCACTCGGCCCGGATCTCAGAGACGGGATATCCTGGAGAGTATGATTACCAGCGAGGTGAGTTTCTCTACTCGATCCATGGATCTACCCAGTGCTTGTGTTTCAAACACTGAGGAGGCCTGTGAAGGCCTAAGGGCTGATCTAACTGGGAGGCCTCACGAGAGGCCTACGACCGTCTGACCAGACTCAGGAGTCCGCATGCTTATAGTGACCCTCCGTGAGGGGAGCACATGGTCCGCCTGGTAGGCAAACCAGGCTGTAGGCAGGAAAGAGGTTCCGGGAGGGAACCAGTAGCAGAGAATGAACACTTTAGTCGAGCCAGGGCGCAAGCTCACCTTCAGCAGCTGCCTGATAAGGCCAGCTGAAATGATAGCAAGAGGCCACTAGCTTCCAGAACCCAGCACCGCTAGTAAACCACTCACAAGGAGGCCTAGAGAGGCCTACAACCTGATAACCACAGTATGTGGGGACCCTCAGGGAGGCCTGGAGAGGCCTACAACCTAATAACCACAGCATGTGGGGACCCTCAGGGAGGCCTGGAGAGGCCTACTACCTGATAACCACAATCCGTGGGAACTCACCTTCAGGGAGGCCTGGTGAGGCCTACTACCTGACCGTACTCACTCAAGGAGGCCTGGGGGAGCCTACTACCCGATAACCACAATCTGTGGAAACTCACCGTCAGAGAGGCCTGGTGAGGCCTACTACCTGGACGTTCTCATTCAAGGAGGCCTGGAGGAGCCTACTACCTGATAATCACAGCATGTGGGAACTCACCTTCAGGGAGGCCTGGTGAGGCCTACTACCTGACAGCCCAAAAATATTTGGGAGCTCACATTCAGGGAGGCCCAGAGAGGCCTACTACCTGATAGCCAACGTAGGTGGAAATTCGCCTTCAGGGCGGCCGGGTGAGGCCTACTACCTGATAGCAACAGTATTTTACTGGTAGCTGAGTCCGGGTGACAGTTCCAAGGCGGCCTGCTAAGGCCAGCCAACTGGGGACTCGCCTATCAGGGAGGCCCGGTTGGGCCTACTAGCTGATAGCAAGTCAATTCTGCTACAAAGGAACACTGTTGGGAACCATACTACACCAATGTAACTATTGGGCCCACCCACAGGAGGCCTAGTACGGCTAGCTACCTGTAGCGGCATTAAAGTATGTCCCACAATGTTGGGACTCACCTCCGAGGAGGCCTGTTTAAGGCCTACTACCCAGCGGTGAGTCAACTGCCCGAACCACCAAGGCCAACCAATTCTCTCGAGAAGTAGCCTATAGCGCCCTCTTGGGGGCTGCTCATACAAGGAGGCCTGCTAAGGCCTACTACCTGATGGCGCAGCCTTCGTTGGCAGATAAGCTGTTTACACAGCGCCTACAGTATCCTGGTGCCTAATCACATTACCCACGGCAGTGTACTCAGCAAGAGAGCTTAGCACCCTTAAACAAGGGGAGTACAACATACGCCACTCTGCCTCAACGGAGGCCCCAGTTAGTCAGGGGCCTACCATCTATGCATGGGCGTCAGCTCAGGGCAATGCTCTGGCTACAGGGGAGCGTACTTCAACCAAAGAAGAAGTGAAGGCTTACTTCATACTCGACCCGAGCCATAGTGGTGCGAGGTAGGATAAACAGAACTGGGAGTGAAGTACTCAGACCTACCCTGAATCGCAGGGGAATACTCACACCTCACCCTGAGGTTACCAGGGGGCGGGCCTGCAAGCGGCTCTAGGGGTGACAGAAATGTATCTGTGCCCAACCTAGGGGAGTGGGGCTTGAATGAAAGCCAACCACCTACAACCCGGCGCTCGAGCAGTAGGTCAGCGAGGTAAGTGAAGCCCATACTGGCGGCCTAAATCCGTAGGCCAGTTCTGCACGGCAGGGTCGGCCAGGAGACTCAGTCTTCTTCGTGAAGCGAAAGACGGCCTAACCCTGCTCAAAAGGACTTATATACCACGGAGGCCTAACTGAGGCCTGCCATGTCCTTATAAACCATCCTCTGCACCACGCTGCATTACTCTAGTCACCCCAGAATGCAGAGAAGGGGGCGGGCCTTGGCCTAACGACTCCCATGGGAGGAGGCTGTTTATTCAGGGATGCTAGAAACCTACATTCACAAAGTGAAGGGTCAGAGGAAGAAATGCTAATTATAGCAGAACGCCTCTATTATCCCTGGCACAGCCTAGGCCAGCTATAGAGGCGGCCCTGGTGAGGGCCAACCTGCAAGCACAGATCAATCTGAGGGCTCGGAAGAGCCACCACCTAATAAGGAATAAAGTCTGTATTATTCGATACAAAAGGCTGCATGAAATACTCAGGAAAGTCAACGGTCCCGTGGGCCGGACTAAAGATCTATCTGAAGCTCTAGCGTCAGTCAACACTCTAAATAAAATTTTAGAGAGAGATCAACTACTCTTACCCTGAGGTGGCTAACAGCCCGAAGGCTAATATAGTTCTCGTTCTGGCCACCTAACGGGGAACTTCAGGGCCCTGATAATCCAATAAAGTTCTCTTACCTTATTACCTTGACATGACCCCATAACTCTTCATACAGGGAATGAGGTCTGTAAAGAGAAATATGTTATTTTTTAATCACAAAAAATACTCTTTGAGAAGACCCGCAGGTG